CAGGATACAAAATCAATATAAAAAATCAGTTGCATTTCTATATACTGACAAGAAAAATTTGGGTGCCCGGGTGGCTCAGTGGGTTAAAGCCTCTGCCTTTGGCTTGGGTCATGATCCCAGGGTCCTGGGATCAATCCCTGCATTGGCTCTCTGCTCAGCAGGGAGCCTTCTTCTCTTCTCTCTCTGCCTACCTCTCTGCCTACTTGTCTCTGTCTCTCAAATAAATAAATAAAATCTTTAAAAAAAAATCTAAAAGAGGTCTTTTTTTTTAATCCACTCTGACACTCTTGATTAATGTAATTAGATCATTGACATTTAAAGTGATTATTGATATAGTAGGATTAATATCTACCATATTCATTACTGTTTTCTACTCATTGCTCTTGATTTTTGTTTCTTTTATCTTCAACTCTCCTTCTGCCTTTTCTGGTTTTAATTGAGCACTTTAAATAACTCCATTTACCTTTTTGTTTTAGCATGTCAATTTTAGTTCTTTTTTTTTAATTACTTGCCATAGAGTTTACAATATACATACATGTCCAACAGATCCAAACTCAATTTTATTTTTTTTTCTTTTCAGCATAACAGAATTCATTGTTTTTGCACCACACCCAGTGCTCCATGCAATACGTGCCCTCCTTAATACCCACCACCTGGCTCCCCCAACCTCCCACCCCCCACCCCTTCAAAACCCTCGGGTTGTTTTTCAGAGTCCATAGTCTCTCATGGTTCACCTCCCCTTCCAATTTCCCTCAACTCCCTTTGCCTCTCCATCTCCCTATGTCCTCCATGTTATTTGTTATGCTCCACAAATAAGTGAAACCATATGATAATTGACTCTCTCTGCTTGACTGATTTCACTCAGCATAATCTCTTCCAGTCCCGTCCATGTTGCCACAAAAGTTGGGTATTCATCCTTTCTGATGGAGGCATAATACTCCATAGTATATATGGACCACATCTTCCTTATCCATTCATCCATTGAAGGGCATCTTGGTTCTTTCCACAGTTTGGCAACTGTGGCCATTGCTGCTATAAACATTAGGGTACAGATGGCCCTTCTTTTCACAGCAACTTCTTTCAAGATATGTCTCCAAAGGCAAAGGAAACAAAAGTGAAAATGAACTTTTGGGACTTCATCAAGATCAAAAGCTTCTGCACAACAATGGAAACAGTCAACAAAACAAAGAGGCAACCCACGGAAAGGGAGAAGATATTTGCAAATGACAGTACAGACAAAAGGTTGACATCCAGGATCTATAAAGAACTCCTCAAACTCAATACACACAAAACAGATAATCATATCAAAAAATGGGCAGAAGATATGAACAGACACTTCTCCAATGAAGACAAACAAATGGCTATCAGACACATGAAAAAATGTTCATCATCACTAGCCATCAGGGAGATTCAAATTAAAACCACATTGAGATACCACCTTACACCAGTTAGAATGGCCAAAATTAGCAAGACAGGAAACAACGTGTGTTGGAGAGGATGTGGAGAAAGGGGAACCCTCTTACACTGTTGGTGGGAATCCAAGTTGGTGCAGTCACTTTGGAGAACAGCATGGAGATTCCTTAAGAAATTAAAAATAGAGCTTCCCAAACCCACTTTTAAATAACACTGTCCTGCTTTATTGGTAATGCAAGTATTCTTTAATAGTTTTCCTACTTCCTTCTCTTAAAACATTTCATCATTTATATCACTTATTTATAAGCTATAATCACTGAATATGTTGTTATTTTATTTTGATCTGTTATTAGATTAGTTAAGAATAAGAAAAACAAAAGTTATTTTACTTTCATTTATTTCTTCCCTAATGCTCTTCTTTTCTTTATGCAGACCTGAGTTTCTGACCTCTATGTTTTCCCTTCTTTCTGAAGAACTTGTTTTAACATTTCTGGTAAGGCTGTTCTTTTGGCAGCAAATCCCTTCAATTTTTGTTTGAAAATAATCATTACTTCTTCACTAGAAAAGCTTAATAATTATACTTAAGATTTACTTCTACATAAATATATAATCAAATATTAAACTGTTATACTTGTAATTTGAATACTATAATACAAACACGAGACACAAACTACCCAATGTTAAATACTGATCTCCTCTGCCTGACTCTGTAAATATTGAGTATTTTATATTTTATTAAAGGAACTTTTAGAGTCTTGTCAATATTTATATTATGTACTATTATTCCTCACCAAAATCTTCATGAAACCTAAAGGCTGGTATTAAGGTAGTTATTTTTTTCTTCTTGAATATTTTAAAACATGCCAGTTTAGATTAGACTTCAGATTTCCAGGGTGCTATGGATATACTAACACAGGACACATGACTATTTTTTGCCCATTTAAGTTTGTTTGCAATACGACAGAAATGCCTTCAAATTTCAGATAATAGGAAAAAAAGCATCCTAAGCAAATAAAAAAGATACGATGGGTCAACTTATATCTTAGTAAAAACAATGCATCATATCAATCAATTTTTAAACTAAATCCTTAAAATCATTTGAAAAACATTTGTGTCTTCTAATTGTCCATGTACTTATGTCATGGAAGAAGATACAAGACAAGTAATAGAAATTTTAAAAATCTCAAACTATTCTAATTCCTAAAATAAAGAATTTGCTAATTAAGAAATTATCACTATTGTTTAGAAAATAGGCCTTTTGCATAATCTCAAATTCACTTTAAATGCTTGACATGTAATTTAATATCTAAAAATACTCTAGCTGAATAACTTATTAATATTTATAGTGTGTTCCTTCTTGGGATAGACAGGATTCACAACAGCTTTCAACTAATGCTGAAAAAAAAAATCACTTGATAGCTGTTATTATAATTACCGATTAACTTATTAGTGGCTTACCACTTTATTCAGGAATTTATTGACATAAGAACCAATGAAGAGAATAATTTGAAAATTTCTCATTGTGCCACTGTGCCCATTAGTAAAATTAAGAATTTGATACATCGTTATGTATCTTATATTACTTATACTTAGTTGCTTTACATGTTTCCATGTGTGCGATTTGACCAAGTAAAAAACTGATTTGACCAACAACAACAAAAGCCAATTGTTAAGTTTTTTCCTTTTTCTTGCTTTCTTTCCTTTTCTTTTTTTTTTAAGAGCAAATCAATGATTTTGAAGATTTGTTAGTACAAGACAGAACACAGAAGAAAATCACAAAGTGGCACTGAATGCCAATACCAATAATTATCTCGTGTGGTTATAACTAAGGATATTAATAATGTTTGTGCTATTCACTATTCTTTAGAACAAAATCAAAGCCATTAACTTGAACCTGAAGTATACACAACTTATGCAAAATACTTTTAACAAGTTATGTTACATTTTAAAACATTAGGAACCAAATACCTGTACTGGTTTGTATTTTGACTTAATGGAACAAGAAGGGAACAATATTCAGCTAGGAAAGGTTATATTAATAGTAATAAGTTCTTAAAGTTAAAAAATGTCTTCCTTTTCCCTTATACTTTCCACATGCTACACAATGCCCTGAAAGTATTCATTATAGGAAAACAATGTCAATCATAGACTTTAGACTTTGCTTTGGAAGAAACTAATGAGAAGCAAATTAGAAGGTGAGGTTTCATTGTTGTTTTTGAATAAGCAGTCCTAACTTTTCTTCTCATGGAAGTTTAAATCAGCTTATTATAAATACAACTAAACATCAATTTTTGTGGCTTTCAGGTAGTCCAACACTTCATTTATATAGTCTGTGAGAAGAGGTCCTGATTTTGGAAAGACAGAAAAGAGACTTCAATTCTGTTCTGTTCTATTTTATTTTATGCAACTGTTTATCTGTATGTTAAGACTATACGTGTGTGCTATTGCACTTCAAAACTGTGCTTCATGATTTAAGTCCCTCACAGATGGGGAGACACAGGATGGCAAGGAAGGTTGGAAGCTGGGGCTCTAACACTGTCTTGGGGCTTCAGAGGAGGAATCGCATATGGCAAACCAAAAAGGAGAAGGAGGAAGATACCTTCTTACAGTGTTAATTAAGCACCTGTTAAAGACTAGGCTCAGGGCTGGGGGCTTTGATGTAATGCTTTTTTAAATTAAAATTTAATTTATTAATATATTTATACATTTATACATTTATTTATATACATATGTGTGTATATACATTTATTTATTTATATGTATGTTTGTTTGTTTGAGGGCAGGGGCAGAGGAAGAGGGAGGGACAGAATCAGGCAGGCTCTACACCCAGCGCTGAGATCAGGACCTGTGGGCAAATCAAGAGTGGGTGGTTTAACCGACAGAGCCACCCAAGCAACCCTTGATGTAATGAATGCTTTTCAATCTTCAAAAAGTTACAAATACAGTATCTTGCTCAGATGTGTTGCAGACCCGTAGATTTATTTATTCACCACCTATTTGCCACATAACCTTTAGGTCTCAGTTTCCTCAGCTGTAAGATGGAGCTAAGAAGAGCATTTTCTGCCTGATTTTGTCAAAATTAAGTGATTCGTGCACAGAGGCGAGTGTGCTGCCTGGCATTTGGTTAAGGCGCCCAAGAAATGCCGGGTGCTGCTGATATCATCACTGTTTACTGTGGCAAGATTCCAACTGTGGGATGAGACAGGGTGATTGAAAAACACAGAGCTCAAAGGCTTGTGGTGTTCTCAGAGATGTGGAAAGGCTCCGTGGTCTCAGAGACGAGCTTCATAAACAGAAAAGAGCAACGCTCCGAGCCTGGCCTTTTCCAAGACCTCTTCTGGAGGGCAGCCTGGCTGACGTGGGGTCTGGGGTCCAGGGAAGGAAGGAGGGGAGAGGGAGGCTCACTGGGCGCTGCACGCGGCGGGTGGGGCGAACAGCTGGGACGGAGCTCCCAACCCGGCCGCGGCGGAGAGGGCGCCAGGGGCGGGGCACAGTGGGGGCGGGTGGGGAGAGGCGAGTTGGGCGGGGCGAGTTGGGCGGGGCCGGCAGGCGGTCCTGCAAGCTCAGCTGCGGGGACCGGCGGGGACGTCGCCTGCTCAGAGCTCGGTAGAGCCAGAGAAAGAGAGAGCTATGCTTGGGGCGGTGGGCTCCCTGGTGGCCACTGTCTGGGCGGTGCTCCACCTCCGCACCCTCCTGCTGGGTGCCGTCGCCTTTCTGTTCTTTGCTGATTTCCTCAAAAGACGGCGCCCAAAGAACTACCCGCCAGGTCCCCTACCCCTGCCCTTCGTGGGCAACTTCTTCCATCTGGACTTTGAGCAGTCTCACCTGACGATTGAGCGGGTAGGAGCGGGCGAAGGTGCAGGGCTGTGCCGGGACCCTGACTTGCAGGACAGGGGCCATCCCGGGGATCGAGGGCGGGAGGCTGGGTGGCTGTGCAGCGAATGCAGGTTCCTTGGTAAATCCTGCTTTGAGCCTCGATTTCCTCACTGTCTACTGGTATGATTACACCTGTCCTTTCTAGAAGTGAAATATTATTCACTGATTACTATTTAAGGGGGCCAGACATGTTACAGTCTCTAGCCCATTTAGTTGTGTATCTTGTTAAGTGTTATTGCAACATCCTGTTTATAATATGATCACTTTGTCCTTTTAAATATTTTTGTCGTGGGGGTGGGGGTTTGGGAAAGCTGTACTTACCTTCTCCGCTGTATTTCCTGAGTGTAAAATGATACAGGACTCCCTAAATCCTCACCACTTGTCAGTAACTTAACCCCTCCCTTTCCATCTCCTCTCCCTGCTATCCGGGCTCACTGAAGTAATTTGTTTTAAAGTGTCCCTCTGCTTAAATTTTCTTAGTGCTTCCTACTTACTGCCTTCCAGAGTTAGGGATCCACTTGGAACTCTTCTTTTTTTTTTTTTTTTTTTTTGAACTCTTCTTTTTTTTTTTTTTTTTTTTAGATTTTATTTATTTATTTGACAGAGATCACAAGTTGGCAGAGAGGCAGGCAGAGAGGAGGAAGCAGGCTCCCTGCTGAGCAGAGAGCTCCATGTGGGGCTTGATCCAGGGACCCTGGGATCATGACCTGGACTAAGGCAGAGGCTTAACCCACTGAGCCACCCAGGCGCCCCGGAACTCTTCTTAACTCAGCCTCTTTCCACCTTTTTATAATCATGTCCCACCAGGGTTTCCTAACTCTGTCCTCTCTGATTTCCTTAAAATTCCCTCCAGCATCCAGCCCTCTCTCAAAAATCCTCAGCTGGTTTCCTGTCACTCAGCTAGGTACTTCTGTTATCTGTCACTACCTAGCTGAGTGACAACACTGTGGTAGGTGACTGTAAAGGTTAAATAAAATGATCAGTGATCAAACATGGCTTTTAGTAGGTGCACAACAAATATTTGTTCCCCTTTTCCTAGACGTACCCAGGGCACTTTAAACACATGCTTCTATACTCAAGTACAGGTGGAGAAGGTTTTATCAATTTCTTGGAGAAACACCCAATTGGGAACACTAAGTGACAGGATTAGTAACAATTTTAAAGCTAGGCTCCTAAACCTATACCCTTGTTTAAGAAATGCGTTGGGCGACTGGGTGGCTCAGTTGGTTAAGCAACTACTTTCCACTCAAGTCATGATGCCGGAGTCCCAGGATCGAGTCCCACACTGGGCTCCCAGCTCCGTGGGGAGTCTGCTTCTCCCTCTCATGCTCTCTCACTCTCTCTCTCTCTCTCTCTCTCTCTCAAATAAATAAATAAAATCTTAAAAAAGAAAGAAAGAAAGAAATATGTTGCTTAAGGGTACCTGGCTGGCTCAGCTCAGTCAGTGGAGTATGTGACTCTTGATCTCAGGGTTGTGAGTTCGAGCCTGAGTTTGGGTGAAAAGATTACTTAAAATCAGGAAAGAGAAAGAAATATGTTGTTTAATTTCCAAGTATTTGAAAATTTTCCTGCTTTCTATTAATGATTTCCAGTTTGATGTCACTATGGTAAAGGACATATCCTGTATAATTTCAGGTCTTTTAAATTTGTTAAGGTTTGTTTTATGACCCAGCATACAGTCCCATGCATGCTTGGAAAAAATGTATGTATTCTGCTACTGTTGGGCTGAGTGTTCTATATGTATCAATTAGATCTCATCGAATGATCCTGTTGTTTGGTTTTCTATGCCCTTCTATACCCTGACCTTTTACCTATTGATTCTATCAATCACAAGGAGAGGCATGTTGAAGTCTCCAACTATAATTACACGTTTGTCTATTTCTCAACTCAGTTCTGGTATTTTTTTCCTTTTTGTATTTGTCATCTCTATTATTTGGAAGGTGCATGTTAAAATTAATATATCTTCTTGGTGAATTGACTCTTTTGTTATTATGTAATATATCTCCTTATCCCTGGTGATTTTCATTGCCTAGGCTTTAGCTGATATGATACAGACACACTAGCTCTTTGATGATTATCTGCATGGTGTGTACTACATTCTTTCACTTTTAACCTATTTGTATCATTGTATTTGAAATGAGACAGTATACAGGTGGATCATTTTTTTTTTAATTCGCCAATCTCTTTTATTTTTTTTAAGATTTTATTTACTTATTTGAGAGATAGAGAACAAGCAGGAGGAGCAGTAAGCAGAAGGAGAGGCACACTCCCCGATGAGCGAGTCCCCATGTGGGACTCCATCTCAGTACCCTGGGATCATGACCTGAACTAAAGGCAGATGCATAACTGACTGAGCCACCCAGGTGTCCCAATCTCTGTCTTTTAATTAGTGGATTTAGATAATAATAGTTAATGTAACTGTTGATAAGTTAATACTTAAGCCTGCCGTTTTGTTATTTATTTTCTATTTTTCCCCTCTGTTTCTTATTCCCATATTACTCCTTTTCTGTCTTCCTGTGGGTCACTTCAACTTTTTTTTAAGAATTCCATTTTAATTTATTTATACTGCTTTTTAGTATATCTCTGGATTGTGTTTAAGTGTCTGCCTAAGGATTATAAGAGGCACATGTAGCTTAATACAATCTACAGTATTACCATTTTACCACATCAAGTGGTAATAATATCGATTCCTTACAACCAGTAGGTACTTTCATTCTCCCTGCTTTATAATTATCTTGAATATTATTTCTATATATAGATAACCACATCAGACAATATTATAAACTTGCTTTTAACTATTAAGCACATTTTTTTTAATTCAAGAGGAGAATAGTCTATTATATTTACCAATTTACCCTTTATGTTGCTCTTCCTTCATTCCCAAAGTTCCTAATTTTCTACCAGTATCATTTCCTTTTTACATGAGGAACTTTCTTTAGCCCTTCTAGAGCTGGTCTGCTGGCAAAAACTTCTCTTAACTTTCCTTTACCTAAAAATGCCTTTATTTCGCCTTCATTTCTGTATATTTTCACTTAACGTAGAATTCTAGATTGACAATTTCTTTCATGCAACATTTTAAAAATGTTGTACCACTTCTTTCAGGCCTCTGTGATTTCAAATGAGAAATTTGCTGTGATTTGAATTGCTCCTCCCCATAAGTAATAAGTTGTTTTTCTCTGCGTGATGTCAAGATTTTTTTTGCTTTTATTTTTTTTAAAGATTTTATTAGGTTATATCTTTTGTGTGAGAGAGAGTGAGAATCTGAAGCAGATCTGTGCTGAGTGCAGAGTCCAACCTGGGGCTTGATACCATGACCAAGAGATCATGATGTGGGCTGAAACCAAGAGTCGGACACTCAACTGACTGAGCCACCCAGATGCCCCAGTTTTTTTGCTATTAGTTTTCAGAGATTAGATTATGGTATGTCCTGGTGTTGATTTCTTTGAGTTTATTGGGTTATTGGATCTGTAGTTTGATCTCTTACCAAATTCAAGAAGTTTTCAGTCATTATTTCTTCAAATATTTTTTTTTTTAATTCCACAGCCTTCTTCCTCTCTTTCTGGGACTCTTGGATGGTGATGGTGCAAATGTTACATCTTTTGTTATTCTAACATAGGTCCCGGAGGGTCCGATTTGTTCTTTTCAATCTATTTCCTCTGTGTTGTTTGGGTTAGATACAGTCTATTGATCTGTCTTCAGTTTCACTGGTTCTTTTGTCATTTCTGTTCTGCTGTTGAGTTGCTTTATTGAGGTTTTTGTTTGGGTTATTGTATTTTTAAGTTTTAATTTTTCCCTTTGGTTCTTATATATATTTTTTATTTCTTTGGTAAGATTTCCTAATTTTTTTATTTTTTAAAGATTTTTTAATTAAAAAATATTTTTTATTATGAGGGTAGGGAGAAGCAGAGGAAGAGAAGAGGAGGGGAGAGAGAGAAAGAGAAAGAGGGAGAATCCCAAGCAGACTCTGTGCTGAGCATGGAACCTGATGGAGGGCTCAATCTCATGCTCTGAGATCCTGAACCGAGCAGAAATCAAGAGTCGGATGCTTAATAGACTGAGCCAGTGAAGTGCCCCCCAATTATTTTTAAATTTTTAAGAATATTTGTTATTGTTTATTGAAACATTATAGCTGATTTAAAATCTTTATTCCTATAATTCCAACATCACTGTCATCTCAGTATTGGTATCAAATCATTCAAACTGAGATTTTCTTGGCTCTTGGTAAGGTGAGTAATTCTGGAATATGTCCTATAAAACATGTGTTTTATATGACTTGGGACATGTAAATTCTTCCATTTTGGTAGAGAGTCAACCTGTTTATGGTCAGAAGCTCACTTTTGTGGATTGTGGCTCAAATGCCAATTTAAGTTATAAGCCCTCTTCAGTGCTTCTAATCTTCCCCTCTTATGTGTTATCCACCCACAGAGGACTCCATCTCCACACTCTCATCAGTACAGGCTAGGGAGAATGAGAATGGGGACAAAAGACCACCCCCTCCCCCAGTCCTGGGTAGGGTAACCTCTTCTTTACAGTAGGGAGGATGGAAGTCAGAGATCTATCCATATATGCTCCATGGGGAAGGAACATCTCCTTATTTCTGTAGATGAAGGGTAGAAATAAGAATTCTTCCTCTTAACCCCTCCAGTTCGGGGGTGAAATTTACAGTTCAGCTCACAGACTGGGCAGGTAAGGGGCATCACCTCGTTACTACAAAGATTGGTTGGGTAAAGACAAGTTCCCATCCATGTTTTCCACTCATGGAGCACCCATTAGGGTGGGGGAGAATCACACCTTTTTTCATGCTGTTGTCTCCAGAATAGGGACGGAGAAAGGTTAAAAAGTTTCTGTCTTATCTGGCCAAGCTTTTTCTGTCACTTTGGCTAGAGAAAACAGTACTTTCTTGGAGTTATTTTTCCTGTGCTAATTAGAGTAATGATTAGTAGGAGTAAAATGGAAATTCTTTT